TTTAACGTTGATTGTTTTGTGATTGAACGTTGAATGCATGACGTTATACAATGTTTTTATACTAGATAAAGTGTCCCGTCATAAAACAAAATGATGTCGCGTTAGAAGGCATAGTTACGTAGTTAAAAAAAATTAGATATTATATTACACAGACTAAAACGAAAGAAATTCTGAAAACGAAAACTAATAAACAAATGTATTATAGGGGTCATTTACACGTTTAAACCTTGGAAAAAAAAATACTTTGTTGTCATCCTAATTTTTCAATTATTGGTGAAGATGTATGGAAAACAATTACAACTAATTTACATGACAACATATTCTAACTATTATCGATAAACGACATAATATTTTAAATTAATTCGAATGTTAATTTAAATAAATTTGTTCTCTTACAATATGGTCTCTATGTCACGGGTGGTAGACAAAAATGTTATGTCTGTAATGCATAATATTTTTGTTTATTACATTATGATTTAATAGCGTACCACCACGGAGATGAAAATAATACAATTTTACATCATAGAAAAAAAGGATTTCTTTTTTGAGATTCTGAAACAATAAAATGAAAATATTTGAAAGAGCACAAAATGAAAATAGACATATGAAAGAGAAAAAAACAGAAAACTATGAGATAAGTTAGACGGGGGCTGATATAAAAAAGAAAAATCTGAAGAAAAATGAGAAAAGTCAAAGAAAAAGAAAAAATGCAATTTTTTTTTTCTAGAATAACTCACCACTGAAGTTATATAACTAATTCATTATTGACTGATTATATAATTGGATTAGCCAAATTATAAAATAATAAGTAAGATTATATAAATCTGTTTTCTTCATAATGTAATATTAAGCCAAACCAATATTCACCTCTTCTTGTTTTCAATTTGCATCACTTTTATCTTCCGTGGGAGAGAAGATAAATTCCATGCTGTTGTTGCCGCTGCTGCTACCAGAGTTGAACATAGCATCAGCCATATCTACGACGGGATAATCAGCACCGTATCTTGAGGTGGAGGGTCCGGCCCTGCCACCAGTGGTGGCGGCGGCGCCACTAGCGGGATGGAGGCTGAGATTGACTGACGGAGACAATTGAGAGGAAGTGGTGTTAGTATTTTGTGTGATGTCGAGCAAAATATGTTCTGGGGGAACTGACGATGGTGCTGTGGAGGACATATGGCACGTGTGTTTCCCTCTGTATGTTACCTCAAATATGTTAGCATTGTGATCAAGTCTTTGCACCATCTTCTTGGCTTGGCATTCGTATAACTTCTGATGTGTGCATCTGTAGTAACTCCTGCCAAGGAACAAAGCAAGAACCATTTCCAATCAACAAAAAACAACAACAATCTATGCATCTATTTAACTTCAGTTAAACTCTTTCTTGCTATCATAAGATACCAACCAAACAAGATTCCTTCATTCATCCACCAATCATAGCATTTTCAATGTGATTTTCTTTCCTGTGGTTCACAGATATG